GATTTTCTGTCCTGCCCAGACAGGAAAATGTTTTTTCTCAGAGCTTTCAAGACAACTTCCAAAAGGCGGCCTGGGAAACAAGTGACTGCACCGCTGGGGTGCAGGGAGCGGCCCCAGCCTTCGTCTATTTCTACAGGTCACGCCAGCCCGCGCACGCTTCGTACAGGGTAGTCCCGGCCACTCAGCCGCGCCTCCAGACGAGCCCTCCCATGCAGCTTGTTAGCAGAGGAAAGTAGCCCCTTCTGTGTAATAAACAAGGTGGGCCTTCTGTGGCTCCTAACTGACCCCAGCGCCTCTTTTCTTTTGTCCAAAAGGCCTTCTCCCAGTCACCACAAACTGCGGTCGAAGGACCCTCCGAAGCCTCGGCCGGTAGCCCCAGACCCGGTAACCAAGCCCTTCCGGCGTCAACCCAAGCCTCGTGTGGAAACTGCAAAACAGGCCCCGCTCCCGGCGTCCTCCTCCCCACCCCCGCCCCAAAGAAACGCAGTCTCTCTGGGCAGCAGGCTGTCGGCCAGACAGGGGGCAGGGAGGAGAGATCCCGAAGGGGTACAGCCACTACCTTTCTCCCAATGTGTTCCTCTGGCCGATTCAGCACGAACAGCAGAAGAACCCAGCAGCGGCACCAGAGGCGCGAGCTGTGCCTGTAGCCTCCGCACTGAAAGTTCTGGAAGCGGGGTCGCTGGGCATGCGCAGTGCGCGCCTCTCAGCCCCCAGGGAGGTCAGCTGGTCCGCCCCCCTAGGTAGGGCTACGCACGCGCAGTGTCGAGGCGGGCCGGAAGCCTTGGTTCCCTCAAGCTTTTCCTCAGTCCTGTGCGCTTGCGTGGATCCTCGAAAGCCTTCCCTGTTCTTGTGGAAGGAGATTGGACCGTAAGATTGCAGGCAAAGGTAACGTTGCCTTCGATGTCAGCACGCGGTGCTGAGAGAACATATGTGGGATCCTGACCGAGTCTGGGGGTCAGGAAAGTCTTCCCGGGGGAAATGCCAACCTGGATAGTAAGGTGGTTAGGATTACTAGTAGGGTAAGAAGGCAGAACAGGCACAGCATTCGAGGCAGGGAAGCACATGAGCAAAAACTGCGGTGGGAAGGAGGCATGTGTCCCTTTGAGGAACAGAGGGAAGAAAGGGTGTTGGACCAGAGTTATGCAGGAAGAGCTTGGAAAGGTGGACAAAGGCAGGCCATGCTGGACCTTAGTATTTATTCTAAGAAAATTCCATCTCCCTTTCTTTGCTAGAAAGAATGATCTCTAGCTTTGTGGTACTTTGCAGTTGACTATGAATTGTTGCCTTTAATTTTAACAACCTGTGGGGACAGTTATAGTTTTATCAGCAGAGGGAACTGAGGCTTGCAGAAGTATTTTGCACAGTCGTTAAGTAGCAAAGCTGGGACCTAAACCCAGCTCCACCCTATGCGTGGCTGCAGTCATTACCAAACTTAAGCATAACCAAGCAAGCAAGCTGTATCAAAGGTCACCACAGTTTTCTTTAAAGAGTATTCTGCATCGGCCCAAAAATGTGCACCATGTTACAGAAAATGCTATTATGTTCCCCCATTATCCTATAGCATGCATTCTCAGTGTCCTCACCCCACTGAGAATTGGAGATTGCTCTCAGGGGACAAAAACTGGTCCTTGGGAAGACTAAAAAATCTTAGTTAATACACTGATTAGTGGCCTACTGAAGTTTAATCCTACAAAATCTTATTTATTAATATTTAATCGTTCTCTTTAGGGAGAAATTTAATTTAATTTAGAATTCAATTTAATCTCAGGAGAGTCAGTAACCAAAAAAAAAAAAAGTTAAGAAATGTTGTCCTGACTGGGGAGGGTATGTGCTATGGCAAGTGCTGTGAATTGTGTAAGACTGATGAATCACAGACCTGTACCCCTGAAAGAAATAATACATTATATGTTAATTTAAAAAAATACATTTGCTGAAGGAAAAAAAAAATGTCTTGAGTTCAAGTGTCCATCAATTGATGAATAAAGAAAATGAGGTATATGTATACTATGGAATATTATTCGGCCATAAAAAAGAATGAAATGTTGCCATTTGCAACAACATGGATGGAACTAGAGAATATAATGCTAAACTAAATAAGTCAGAGAAAGATAAATACCATATGATTTCACTCATATGTGGAATTTAAACAACAAATGAGCAAAGGGAGAAAAAAGAAAGAGAGGCAAACTGAGAAACAGGCTCAACTAGAGAGAACAAACTAATGGTTACCAGAGGAAGGTGGGTGAGGGATGGGTTGAATAGGTGATGCAGATTAAGGAGTGCACTTATGATGAGCCCCAGGTGTTGTATGGAATAGTGGAATCACTATACTGTACACCAGAAAGTAATATCACACTGTATGTTAACTGGAATTTAAATTAAAACAAAACAAAAAAAGAAATGTTTCGCAGTACTGAAACCTCCAAATCTTAGTGGATCAACCAGAATAAACATCACATTTCCTGACTTCCCATGCAGTTTGTTGTGGCCATGCGAATAAGTTCTGGCCCACAGAAGGTGCTGGAAAGTGATGAGTGCAACTTCCAGGATAGGTCTAAAAATGAGGAACATGCCCTTTTTCTGCTTTCCCACCATCCTGTCCTTGGAAAGTAGCCATGGTGGCAAGCCCCCTTCAGCCATGTGCATGGAGACACCAACCTAGAGGTGGCAATAAAGCAAATGATAGAAGGAGCCTGTGAGATTTCCATGAAGCAGAACTACCATATAAGCCCTAGTCTACCTGCTTTTGTTAGGGAGAAATACACTTCTGTTTTAGTCACTTTTAATTTGGGTCTCCATTACATGTAACAGATCCCTTACTCCTCTTTTATTTTATTTGGTTTAAAAAAATACATAACTTCAAATTTACCATCTTAACCATTTTGAAGTGTACAGTTCAGTAGTGTTTAGTATATTCACACTGTTGTACAACAGATCTCAAAAATTTTTAAATCTTATAACACTGAAACCCTACACCCACTAAAGATTAATTTCACCTCACTCTTTTCCCCCAGCCCTTTGCAACCAGTTTCCCACTTTCAGTTTCTGAGATTTGACTTCAGATATTTCATATGAGTATTTGTCCTTTTGTGACTGACTTATTTCACTTAGCATAATATCCTCAAGGTTCATCCATTTTGTAGCATGTGACAAGATTTCCTTTTTTAGGAGAACATAATCTGTGGCACCAGTGTGGCTCAGTCAGTTAAGCAGCTGCCTTCGGCTCAGGTCATGATCTCAGGGTCCTAGGATTGAGCCCTGTGTCAGGGTCTCTGCTCAGCAGGGATTCTGCTTCTCACTCTCACTCTCTCTCAAATAAGTAAATAAAATCTTTTAAAAATGTTTAAAAAATAGAACATAATCTACTGCATGTATATACTATATTTTATTTATCCATTCAAATGTCAATGGACATTAGGGTTGCTGTGCCTCTTAACTATTCTGAATAATGTCAAATGAACATGTGTGTGCAAATATCTCTTCAAGATCCTGCTATGGATTCCTTTGGACATATTCCCGGAAGTGGGATTGCTAGATCAAATGGTAATTCCATTTTTAATTTTTTAAGGAACCTCCATATTGTTTTCCATGATGGCTGCACCATTTTACATTCCAACCAACAGTGTACAAGAGTTCCAACTTCTCTACATCCTATACAACATTTGCGGTTTTCTGGTTTTTTTGATAGTGGCATCCTGATGGGTATGAGGTGATATCTGCTGTGGTTTTGATTTGCATTTCCCTAATGATTAATGATGTTGAGCATCTTTTCATGTGTTTATGGGCCATTTGTAAATTCTGTTTAGAGCAATGTCTATTCAAGTCTTTGCCCACTTTTTAATCCAGTTATTTAGGGTTTTTGTTGTTATGTCATAGAAGTTCCTTTTATGTTTGGGATATTAACTCCTCATCAGGCGATTTGAAATTATTTTCTTCCATTCTGTAAGTTCCTTTTTTACTGTCTATTGTTTTCTTTGATGTATAAAAATTTCTAAGTTTGATATAGTCCCATTTGTCTTTTTTCAACCGATCCCTATACTAACTAGTCTAACGACTTAAAAAAAAAAATAGGGCGCCTGGGTGGCTCAGTTGGTTAAGCAACTGCCTTTGGCTCAGGTCATGATCCTGGAGTCCCTGGATCAAGTCCTGCATTGGGCTCTCTGCTCGGCGGGGAGTCTGCTTCTCCCTCTGACCCTTCCCCCTCTCATGTGCTCTCTCTTTCTCTCTCAAATAAATAAATAAAATCTTTAAAAAATAATAATAATTATAAACTGTAGCAGCAGTGATATAAAAAACAAAATGGGGGCTCCTGGGTGGCTCAGTCAGTTGAGCGTCTGCCTTTGGCTCAGGTCATGATCCCAGGGTCGTGGGATCAAGCCCCATGTCAGGCTCCCTGCTCAGTGGGGAGTCTGCTTCTCCCTCTCCCTCTGTCCCCAAACATATGTGCGCATTCACTCTCTCTCTCTCTCTCTCTCAAATGAATAAATAAAATCTTTTTAAAAAATGAGCTTACAGTAGAAAATGACCCGGTCCATGAGGAAATTAAGATGCTGATTGTTTAAGATTGTTGGGTAGACAATAGAGGAAAAATAATTGTAACTATATTATACAGAAGGATATTTTGTAAATAGTAAGAAAATTGGAAAAAATGTATTATTTATCTGGACTTTAGTATTTTCCATCCAGAAACAACATCTCCAACCCTTATTGTATAATATTATATTCATTATATAACCTATTCTTCACCCAGGTGAGTAGCTGTGAGTGTGCTAAAGGCTGCCAATGATGCTAATTTCACATCCTTACTATAAACTACCCATTTATATGAAATGGAAATAAAACATGCAGAAATTCCCTTGGATCTGAGAGTAGGGTTTCCCCCAGCACAGTTAGGTTTGTGGTCAGTTTAGCAAAGTCAGCTAAGAACACCAGCCAATCAGAGTTTAGGAGGGAAATGGATTTCCCAAATAAATATGATTCGCAAGAGCATGTTCTCTAAAGAAATCTTCAGGCGTGAAATCCAATACAGGAGTGATTAAGTAGAACTCCATTCTACCACTATGAAGAAAGGTGGTGTTCCTCTTTTGTTGAGTATCATCTTCCTGACTCTGATTGGAGGTCAAGGTAAGGGGTTCTGAGTTATAGTAGGTTAGTAAAGTCAGAAATGTGAATTGCTATAAAAGTCTCTTTATTTGCCCAATAAAGTTGATTGCATGCATCAGAAAGTGATATGAGTCATTCATAAAAGCTTCTCAGTGATGTAGTTCATTATCCAAAGTTCATATCTAAGACCTGCTAAGTCAAACATAAATCTTCTAAGTCTAAGTATGGGAATTCCTGGCATGTAGTAAGTGTTCAGTAAATGTTTGCTGAACTGGGTGGTAATGAGATCAAAGAGTTTGTCTCTTAAATTATTTCTGTAACCCTGATATTGTTTCTTGATAAGTATGTCTGTGGTTAACCAATTAAGGGTCCAATAATCAGAGAGATCCCAAATCTGTTTTCTAACCACCTGTGGGCGAATTAACGAACTTTTCTAGATTTCAGTTTCCTCAGCTGTAAAATGGAGACTTTATAGTTACGCTTTTTCTACCAATCACACAACGTGTGGCATATAGTAAGCACTGAATTAATATATGTTGAATGAATTAAAGAATTAAGGAATGAGGGCGCCTGGGTGGCTCAGTTGTTAAGCTTCTGCCTTCGGCTCAGGTCATGATCCTAAGGTTGTGGGATCGAGCCCCACATCGGGCTCCCTGCTCAGCAGGAGGCCTGCTTCTCCCTCTTCCGCTCCCCCTGCTTGTGTTCCCTCTCTCACTGTGTCTCTCTCTGTCAAATAAAATAGATAAATAAATCTTTAAAAAAAAAAAAAGAATTAAGGAATGAAGACAGTGTATTTCAAAGAGGTTTTAAGAGTTTAAAGTACTATCAAAAAACAAGGCAGTGGGGAGAATGAGGTTGGTGGTTGTAATTGGTTATTATAAGTAGAGCTTTCTGTCCAAACCCACACCAACTCCATTACACTAAGGCCAGATAATAAATGGTTTTGGGAGTTGTTTAAGAAATTGTGGCCCACATTGCACACATAAATCGGTGTCTGTGTGTCTGACCTGTGATAGGCATTTATTATATACCGTGAAAATCTCCTTTCCTACGACTGTAAGATATGGTAGTTAAGAGCAGTGCACTTGGACTCAAAAAAACCTGAGCTGAAACCCTGCACCTGCCCCCTAAATGCTGAATGACTTTGTTCTTTATATAACTTCTTTGAACCTTAGCTTCTTTATCTGTAAAATGGAGATAATACCTCTTTCAAAAGTTTGTGGTAATGATTAACAGTGTAGGTTCACAACTTTTTTCAGGAGCTTTTCTGGTGTAATCTAAAACTGGCTCTTTTACTCACAGGGCAGGGAGAGACCAAAAAAAGAGACAGGTGACTCCAGGTTGGTAGGTGGCAGTTTTAATAATAGCAAAGGAAACTTACATATGGACTTGTCTTGAGCAGCAGCAAAACAAATGGATCCCCATTTGAGGGGGATCTCCTGCCCACCAAATCTTAAAAACTTATAAAGAGGACCTAACTGGCCTTAGTCATGTATTCGGGGTGGGTATTTTCAACATCATGTCACCATCTCAAGGCTATGTCCGAGGAGCAGCCTCTGGGAGCCAGAAAGGAAAGTGGAACCCACACTGTAAGGACAGGGGAGAGGAAGAGAAGTCTTCAAGGGCCCAGGTCCAGCTCACAGGTCAATTGGTGGTAACTTTATTTTTTTATCACCTTCCCCAACAAACATACTCAGTAAATGACAGTAATAATCATGACTAAGTCAAATGTATCATTTTGACGGATCACCTAAATTGAGACATTGCCTTAAATCAATGTTTTTTTCTTTTCCTTCCCTTTTTCTCTACCGTTTTTCTTTCCCTTAGGAACCCCAACAATGAGGAATAGACGCTGTTCCTGCATCACCACCAGCCAAAGAACAATCCAGTCAAAATTCTTAAAGGACCTTAAACAATTTGCCCCAAGCTCTTATTGTGAGAAAACTGAAATCATGTAAGTAAAAACTCATCCAACACGCATGCACCATATTGGCAGGAACATTAAATTTATGTGTGATATTACCCTTAGGACCCTCCCCGTATAAACACTTAAAATTCAGATGGTTGCCCCTCCATAAATGTGGTCTACTTTTTTTCGTCTAAACAACGAGGAATTTCTGGTAGACATTAAAACCAAGGATAATATATCACCAAGTATGTAGAAATATTTAATGCAGATAACTCAAAAGAAGAAAATAAAATCATTTATACTTCTACCACCAGTGACAAATACTGGTCACCCCTTGGCCTATAGTCTTCCAAATCTCCCTTGTTTGCATTTGTGTACATATATAGATACAACATATATGTACATATACATACGTAATGTATATAAACATAAAAATAAAAGTATGTTACATACTCTTTTTAAATAGTCTGCTTTTTAATTAACACTATATCATGAACATTTCCCCATGTCAGTAAATCTTCTGTAATATCATTTTTTCTAATAATGTCATTCCTAATGGCCAAATTATATTCCATAATATGGGTGTACCATAATCTATATGAGCAATGCCTAAGTGTAGATTATTTCCAATTTTTTGCTATTGAAATCAAAATGTAACTATGGCAGTATTGTGTCTTTAATAATAACTTTCATGGGGTGTTATATGGAAGTGTTGAATCACTACATGGTAAACCTGAAACTAATATTACACTGTATGTTAACTGGAATTTAAATAAAAGCTTAAAAATAATAACCTTTTTTAAAGATTAGAATTGCTAGTTTCAATCTTTTGAAACCTAAATTAAGGCTGATCTATAGAATGGCTATTCTTACTTTCAGATTATACAGAAAAATTAAAGAAAAAATTTTTTAGTTATTCCTGGACAGTCTGCTATAAGTAATTTAAAATAGTCAACCAGTCTGTTAATCATGTCTTAAAAAAAATTTTGTTTTAAGGAATTTCATTAGAAAGTTTAGCAGAGGGGCGCCTGGGTGGCTCAGTTGGTTAAGCATCTGCCTTCGGCTCAGGTCATGATCCCAGGGTCCTGGGATCGAGCCCCACATCGGGCTCCCTGCTCCTCAGGGAGCCTGCTTCTCCCTCTCCCTCTGCCTGCTGTTCCCCCTGCTTGTGCTCTCTCTCTCTGTCAAATAAATAAATAAAATCTTTTTTAAAAATGTGTATTTTCAAAGAATATTTAATGATGTTGGAAATGCTCATGTGATTTTTTTTAATTTAAATAATGTAGGGTGTGTGTTCTAGAAATTTATCTAAGTCCCCTCACTCACTAATAAAACAAAAAGGCAGGAAGGAAGACTGCAAGTCTCAGATGCTTATTGTGATGACACAAATACATTCTAATTGGGGGATTGAATTCTGGGGGTAAGATGAGGCATTGAAAGTATTGAAAGTAAAAAAAAAAAATCTCGTGCTATTTCTTTGGCAGTGCAACAATGAAGAATGGGGTTCAAACATGTCTAAACCCAGATTCAACAGATGTGAAAGAATTGATTCAAAAGTGGGAAAAACAGGTCAGTGACCAGAACAAACAAAATTTTCTTTCTTTTAGAAATTAACTTTCGAAGACAAAGAATCTATGTAGTTTCTTTAAGGATACATTTTTTTTTATATTATTGTACTCCTACTTTGTTTCTAGAATAATGTCATCACCATGAAGTATAATTGTATTTCTGCATATAGTATCACTTGTCTATATCCCCCACTAGAAGTATTTTCCATGAGGAGAGGGAGCTTACCTTTCTTATTCAATAAAATATATATGTATTGAATTGAAAGGAAGACACTGAAGATGGAAAGGTAATAAGCTATGGGTCCCTTCCTGCTGTAGCAGATGTGCTAACAGTTACAGTACAATGTGAGAAATATAAAGATATGTACCAGAATCTTGAAGATCATAGAAGGAGTAATCCTTTTCCTTGCCAGAAGGAGGGGCAGGGAGAAAGTGTTAAGGAAGACTTTTCATATGATTAGGGTCTTGAAGGATAAGTAGTTCACCAAGAGAATAAGGACAGCACAAAAAAGAAGCATGGCATCATGAGAGCCTGCTCTCTTCAGAGAGCCTCAAGTAATGTGGCTGGAGTTTGTGTGAAGGGAGTGAAGAGACTGAGGTAGAAAAGTAGCCCAGGACAAAGCCAGAAGCTTGGCTTCTGGAGTCTGATGGTCTAGTGGTTCTGCCACATATAGCTGTGCAACTTTGGGCAAGCCACCTTCTCCAAGCCCCAGTCTCCTCCTCTGTAAAAAGTGGGATGATAATAGTACTAGCCTCAGAAGGTTGTAGTTTGGACAAGCAGAGTTGAAGTAAGGGCAATAATAAGCCAGGAGAAGAAACAAAAGAAGACCATTAGGAGGCTAATGTCCTCCTCCTCAAAGTCGGTAAAGCAGAGAGAATCAAAAGGAGCCCCTTTGAGAGGGAGGCAACTTTAAACCATTTTTGAAGATTAAAAAAAAAAAGAAACCACACACACAGTCTGGAGAGTCCAAATATAATACAAGGAAGGAAAAATGGTAAGATAAAGGAACATTACTCTTGTTTTCTTTCTCCTCACAGGTCAGCCAAAAGAAAAAGCAGAAGAAAGGGAAAAGATATCAAAAAAGCAAGAAAGTTTTAAAAGTTAAAAAATCTCAACATCCTCATCAAAAGAAGACCACATAAGCAACCACTTTACTAACAAGTGCTTTGTGTTAAAAAGCTTCTTTTTAATTATACTGAAATAATTCCAAAAGGGGATGGCATCTTAATACATGTTGTTTTTTTTTTTTTACTAGAGAAGTTTAAGCATTGTTGTGAAATTGTAATTAAAGCTAGAAAGTTGCTTTTAAAATCCAAATGCTGAGAATTGTTAAAGGCTATAGTTTGACTTTCTTCTTCGACCTCTAAACAACTGAATTTCATCACGCTGGAGACCACAATCCTAACCCACATCCGGACAAATGCGCACACGATCAGATCCTGTACACAGTGACATTCCACGCAAAACAGCTGGCTGGAAGAGCAGTCCTGTACTTCCCAGGCCACAAATTCAAGCCTCCAGAGAATATTCTGAGGCATGTGTCAGCAAGCCCCAGCCTGTCCACATGCTAGGAAGCCAAGCAGTTTGGAATCGAGCTGGACCTCACCAAGCTGCCATGGCCTTCCAGCATCTGTGTTCGAATCTGCCTACAGACCTCACAGTGTATCTGAGAGACCCATGCTGGTTGTTTCTGGGGACCACCATTGAAGAACACTAGCCCTTGGCTTTCAGAACCTTATATCCAGCTTTGGAGGACATGGGACTCCATCTTGCCTCTCCAGGCTCACCATTGTACTTCTTACTATTCACCTTTGCTTCCATCAAGCCTGTTCTTCACTGTCTCTGCTACACAGGTCATGTCCTCATTCACCTGGGTCTGTCCACTCTTCTTCAGTCTTTCCCCAGTACTCCACAGGAATGCCACCTTCTCCCAATTCATCCTAGTATGACCCAGTCTTTGGCTCAGTTTAATCCTGTCTCTTAAAGAAAACTTTCTGGACATTTGAATTATCTTAAAACTCCAGTTTCACTTGTGTTCTGTATTACACAGGTGAGCACTTAACTGTTTTCTAATACTTTTTTTGCATGCTTATTCTATTTCTCCAATCAGATTGTCAGCTCCTTGAGGGCAGGGGGCCACAGTTAATTTCCTTGACTCTGTCACCATGCCTAGTAGACTGTGAACTAGGTTTTGAATAATTCCTCAGTTGCAGTTTTTACAGGTAGGAGGGCAACCAGACCATCTCCTCAGAACAGGAATTGGCTATATTGGCTACGCCATATTGTCTAACCCCTGGTAACCTCTTTTACTCATTATCTTCAAGCCATTGTCATTACAGGAATAAGAGGTGATGCAACATTCTTGCCTTATGACAGGATGTTAACTTAGCCTCTCCAACAAATAGGAAGAAAATGTTTAAAACACAGGATATTCTGAACTATTTTCAGAAAGTAGTGCAGGATACCTAGAATCATAGAATCTTACAGTAGGAAGGAGCTTTATTGTCCAACTTTTCCCCACCCAGTACAAAAATTCCTTCAGTACCATTTCTGACAAGCCTCAGTTTTCTATGTCTGACAAGAAAGCCACCAAGTGCCTTTTGAAAACTCATTGTAGGTAAATATAAATTTCATTGTCCATTTAACCTGTTTCAGTTTGTAAAGTATTGTGATTATCAATTACCACACCATGTCTCACGAGGAAGTGTGGGTATTAAGATACCAAGAGCTGGAGGGAGCAGCAAATCCTGTTAGTGGAGACATGGCTGGTGCCCAGTTAGCTTCAACGGGGCTTGGAAACCCTCTTGAAGAGGAGGCTCGGTGAATTGTGTAGGAGAGAACATCTTTGGCCAGAATTTAAACTTACACCTACTTTGCCAGATTTTGTCACTTCTTACACTGCAGGTGATTTTTAATGCTGCCTAGAGGTGATCCCATCCAAACAGCATCTTGTCTAATCGTGAAACTCTTTAGCTCCTTCAGTATGTAACCCCTGAAAACTCCAAACATTCCATAGTTTGAGAGTCTGTGACCCAGTTACCATGTGTCTCACAGGTAAAGTGGATAGTACACAACAAATAACCAGAGACCACATCTTTGACTAAGTACCTATGACACATATGACATGATAATCATTCATTACTTATATATACATGTATACTCTCTAAGCAATAATTAAGTTCAAAGCAGTTTTGGCATATATAACTTGTACTTTCAAATATTTTCTTTATTAAAAGACAATAGTATCAATAAATAGACCATTGATCAGAAAACAAATACTGATATGTTTTAGTGTCTTAAATATGTACCTCAACTATTATATGTTTAACAGTAATTCTTACATGTCCTTATTCACTTTCTTCCATCTAAGATAGGGTATAATTGAGAGAAAGACATATTTTTATTTATTTATTTATTCATTTGTTTTTTTAAGATGTTATTCATTTATTTGAGACAGAGAGAGCACAAGCAGGGAGGAGGGTCAGAGGGAGAGGAAGAAGCAGACTCCCCACTGAGTGGAGAGCCTGATGTGGGACTCGATCCCAGGACCCTGGGATAATGACCTGAGCTGAAGGCAGCTGCTTAACCGACTGACACCCAGGTGCCCATGGAAGCCCTGTAAAGAGCTCTTTGGGAACAGAAGAAAAACTTCAATTGAAAATATGACAACAATGAAGAGTTATATAGAATGCAATTTATTTCCTAATCCTGAAAGATAATGCTATTCCAATGAGATATATACCCAGGAAACAAAAGATGCCCTCTTTTCCATATTCTGAAAGTATATATATTTTTTTTTTTAAGATTGTTCATTTATTTTTTGACAGAGAGAGAGAGAGCACAAGCGGGGGGAGAGGGAGAAGCAGGCTCTCTGCTGAGCAGGGAGCCCAATGTGGGGCTCAATCCTAGGACCCGGGGATCATGACCTGAGCCAAAGGCGGACGCTCAAACACTGAGCCATTCAGATGCCCCAAAAGTATATATATATTTAAATATTATAAAGCCTCAAGTAGTTTTAGTGGAGATCTAAACATAGGATAAGTTCTTTAAGGGTCCATTTGAGGTACACTTGAGAGGCAGCCAGAAAGGTGTGAAGTTTGGGCAGGTAGCAGCTGCTGACAATGGACATGACTCCCTGCAAGGGCCTTAACCTGAGAGACTACAGGATGCTGTGGAAAGAGCTAAGATTCTGGATTCTGAGATACCTGGGTTAAGATCAGAAGCCCACCACTTATTATCTATATGACCTTGGTTCAAGTATACTGTTTAACCTCCCCATGCACCAGTTTCCTCATTCAGGATTGTTGTGAGGAATGGGCCCAGCATAGATCTGATGCATAGAAAGTACTCAGTGTCAGTCCCAACCTTCTGTGACCACTCGCTTCTGCTGTACCTTCCTTGCAACAGAGAGTTCCACATCTCATACACAGAGAGACGTTCCCAGGACTGAAAAAAGTATGTTGGAAAAATGAGGCAAAAAGCTCACCTGAGAAGTTCTCTGTATCTACATTTTTATACTCATAGTCCAGACCATTACTGATTGTCCCTTTCCTGGACTATAATAGCCTCCTATTTTCCCTCCTGTCTCTTTTAATCAACTTTTCTCTTGCTTCCTTACCATTCTGATGGCCAGAATGATCCTTTCAAAGCACAGCTCCTAGGATACCACCCCTTTGCTTAAAATACTGTAATTTATAATTAAATCCAACATACCAGGGCCTACAAAGCCCTATATGACTTTAGGCTCCGCCTGCTTTTCTGACCATCTCCCTCCACCCTCCCCTTTGCTTACTGAGCCTCAGCCTCACCTTTCCGTCTCTCAAGCACACTGAGTTCATTTCCTTCTCATGGCCTTTGCACATGCTGTTCCCTGTCGTGCTGGGTTGTGCTGTATCAACTTGGTTAACCTGGGAACTCTGTTTCCCGGAATCTTCCTCCCCATGTAGTTCTAAGTCAGAATTAACCGAAGAGGCACTTGTGTGAGATTTGGAAGATGGAAGTGAGGGGATGGCCATTACTCTTGATTAGATATAATGACAAACACAGTGGTATCCAGGGGATTTTCCAGCTTGCCCTTGCTCTCCCCTGTGTTCCCTTCATCTTCGATGACTGCTGGCCTTATGACTAACAATGGTGCCAAACCCTCCAGCAGATACTTGGAAGTGCACCCACAGAAGCAAAAGTGTCACAAAAGTGACAGCTTCCCATAGGCCCCGAGCAATCTCACTGGACGGGTTGGGCTTCTTGGATTTTCTTACAAGCTCTGATTTGTCTAGCTGTACCAGTGCTCCTGAAGGATTGATCAGTGACTCTTTCTCCAATTCCCTGAATATGCTCCCAGACTTTTACTTCCAAAGATCCTTCCTCATCTGTGTGAGATCTGATTCTATAGTAAACCCTTTATCCCCGTAATGCTCAGATAGCTTCTGCTTCCCTGGTCACCTGTGCCTTCTTCTTTGCGTGACTGTTCCTGCCTCATTTTTGAGCTTCAGCTCAAATGTCATGTCCCAGAGTCTCAGTCCCTTCTCAACCTTAATGAAATAGCCATCCTGCGACCCTCTCTATTGTAATGCTTTCCAAAGTCAGGTGTGTGCACCCTCTGGAATGGATGAAATGACAATATTCATAAAATTTTTCCTAAAAAAAAAAAAAAACAAGAAAGAGCTAAAGATTTTCTTTAAATCTGAACCCAGCTGTTGATATTGGCAGCTTCACTCAAGAGCATTTGTCAGGTGGTCATGTGTCACGTGGAGATTTCCTGTGCAAAAGTGAGACATCCACTTTTTGGATGGAAGGCATTGACACATGCCCTCACTCAGTCACTTCCAGCATAGCAATAATGGATCGCCACTCAGGTGGGCACGATCTTGTCTAGCTAACTCCGAACAAGAACCGGGATTATGAGGATTATAAAATAGAGTGCTAACTGAGCCAACCTTCACAAAATGGGCAAGTGGCTTTAAAAGATTCCTACTAAGAAATTCATATGCAAGTTAATACTAAGAATGCAAACATAACCTAACAAAAGAATAAAACACACATGCAGAGGATGCCTGTTATAATTTTATCTAGAAGGACACACAATTTTAAAGATCTGGGAACTATAATCTGTTTCATTCTCTTTTATCACAATCTGATAAGTCAGTCAAACTTCATCACAATCTGAAATTATCTTTAAAAATATTTATGTGGTTATTGCCTGGCCCCACCCTACCACAAACACTAATTTAAGTTTCTTGACTGCAGAAAACTTTGTTCACCACTGCATCCACAGTGTCCGGCACTTCGGAAGTACTTAATATGTTTTTTTTTTTTTTTACTTAAATGACATATGCTTTACCCTAAATTATCTTCCAGGCCTTTCCCAAATCAACCTCAACTACTCTTACCACTATCATTTAAACTTACCATGCTCACTTCTGCCTTCAGCTTTGCTGATGCTCTTTTATT